CCATTGCTGACACAAAAACAGGCATGAGAGCTCACAGGAAGAAAAGGCCTTTACACAGCACAACATTCATCACTTTGACTTGGGGAGGGTCTGGACCCAAGTCTGGAAATGCATCGATGTTGCCTTGCCCTGTTCTTGTGCTGTGATGATGAGGTATCTGTTGTTGACCACCCTAAGACAGAGGGCACTGGGCCCTCAAGCTTTTTTGGGGTCATTTGTTACAGTTGTCCTTATGCCTCTCTGTTCTTACAATTAGAAAGCTGTTCCTATCCATGTTAATGATTCTGTGCAAAAAATTTTGGCTGACCTTGTGTTCTTGTATGCAGAGAATCAACTGTCTCTTCTTAAAACCTTTACCCATATTTGTAGGAGATTATGCCCCATCTCATCAGCTCCCATTTTAAGCTCCTGCTGGTTCATTTTTGGTCTGAGTTAAACAGTTCTGGACTCAGTTCTCTGCCCTGAGCTCTTTCTAAATATTTCAGTCCACAGGTTTCTGAATTGAGGTCCAAGACTTTAGTTAAACTTGTACAACATGACTAATTATTAGGACAAAACAGTCAATACTTACTAATATAATTTTCTCTGGAGGTGGCAGCTTTCCCCCTCTTTCCTCTCAACTCAGTTTGTCCACATCAACTTCTGGTTTTTTCATCCGCCTTTCCTTGTCCTGATGCGCTGCCAATCCCCTCCAGTCTCTGCACACTCTAGAAATTTAGGCTGTTGATCTGTCTAATGTGTCCAGCATGTATTCTACATTCCATCCCCAGCATTGTTTTGCATGTGGTAGTTTTATCTGTTTGCCACTTTGAGACCTCCTTAAAGTCACTCTGGGAATTACTCTTTTGGTTAGTAATAAAAACTAATCTAATGCATTTTCTCAATGCAGTACAGTTGGAAGTGATTTGGAATGTTTTCAAACAGACAAAAGGCAAATGTTTGCTGTGGTGACAAAGGGGTACAAAGCACGTGAGCAGTGCTATGATTGATGCCTGTCCAGTGAAAGGGCATCCTTACTCTGCCTCCTGGCAGAGACTTACAAGATGCTCCAGCTTAAGCACAGGAGTATTTACTGATTTGGGGATATGAGTTATCCAAGGAAGAAATGAAAAGAATCTGCAGAGAAGGTTAAGTGGAGTTTGAGGTAGTGCCCAGTAGCATCCAGCATGGCCCTGGTTACTCCAATACTCTTGTTTGTTTTCACAAACCAGCACCTCACAGCTTTGGAGTGGGTGACCGCTGCGAGGAGACCATAACCTCTTGATTTCAAAGGAGCCATCGTTTCACTGGTGCCTCTGTGGTTAATGTAAGAAAGGTGTCTTGCCATAAACTTTTTCCGAGGTATTCAGCAAGGTTGGGAAGGGGTCGGCCGAGGCAGGAAGCCCTTGTCTGTGCTATAAAGAAAATAGCAAGCAACAAAATGAAAGCATCAAAGGACCAACAGGATGCGGTCCCAGGAGTCCTCTCTGGCATGTTAGTCCTTCTTGAAAGTTAGCATTGAGTGAAGAGTGACCTTAAAACTCCCTTCATTCAAACAGACTGGGCTCAAGTTTAAAGTTCAAGGCATTTTGTTTTTTCACCTGTTTCCTACAGTTTTTAAGAAACTTCTGAAGAATTAATGTGTAACTATATCTGGTCACAGAGCCAATGCAGAGAATTTTTCTCAAGGGAAAATAATGTTACTGTATGGAGCGAGAGAAATGGATACTTTCTGAGTTAGGTTTTATTTTGTTGAAACTTTTTCTCCCAAACCCACTGTGAGCATGATTGCAAACAGCCCTGGAGCCAGTGTAATGCACAGCTCTGGGGCCATACTTTTTTCTTTTTTTTTTTTTTTTTTTAAAAAAAAGGAGCTGATAGGGTCCTGTAATAGTTTGAATTGTGCTTAAAAAAAAAAAAAGGGGTGGTTTTTGCCAAAGCTGCTGCTGCCACTTGGGAAGCAAGGTCTTGCTTTGGGCACAACCTGGGAGCAAAGAGTCTGGTTGCAGCTTCATCTGTGAGTGCATGGTGAGTGAGCCAGCAACTGTCCACATGGTCACCCACCCTTCTCTCACCCTGCTGGAGCTGTTGGGCCTTGAGAGGGAAAACCAAAGAAAGCCCTGACCCAGAACTCCACTGGTGGGTGAGGGTGGATGTGGATACTGCTGCCCTACCAGCACTAATGCCAAGTGGCAACCCCAGCTCCTAGCTGGCAGCAGTTGTGAGCCACTTTTCACCTACCTGTGTGATGCTGAAATAGTCCCTCTATTTTCTGATCTTTGCATCTTGCCTGATGAAGCAACTAGTTACAGATCCCACAAGCAATCTGGCAGGTCATCTTTCATAGCTAAAAGAAATACTTTGCAGAGATGATGTACAAATTTCACTCGTGTTTCCCCATGCCATTAAATTTTAATGATTCTGGTATGAATTTTTCATGAAAGTACTTTCTGAATGGGTTTGTTTAGTCCTGGCAGCTAATATTCAGTATACGTCTGGGCAGGTTTTGTTTGGTTTTTGGTGGGTTTTCTTTTCCTCTCAGGTGGTTTAGTGAAGGTAAGAAGTGTCAAACTGGATTAAGTGAGAAAAGGCAACTTCTTGTTGGTGATTCAGCAAGGGGATGCCATCTATAACTCTTTTCAGCTGCGTGGTGGAAGCCTGTGAAATGACCCTCAAATACAATTCTGCTCTGTGCTCTCCTGCCACAAGGTGGCTAAAACTCTTTTAAGAGCCCAGGATTTCCGAGTGCTTTGAGTGATGCTAATACATCTACAGCCTTTCTGCAGTGCAACACACGGCACACTGGAGACCAGATTTATTGCGCAGAAAATTGTGTATGTCTTATTTATATGGAGCAGTGATCAGGAAGTGTTATTGCCAAGTTTATTTCAATCCCTCCTTGGCTGGAGGGCTGGGCCTTGCTTTGTTGTTGGGTTTTTTTTAATAGAAGGAGAAGCGATTGTGCTCAGCCCATCCAGCGTGAGCGACAGGGCCTCTGTGGGGCACAGAAGTGCCACTGGGAGCTGTGGCTGAAACTTCAGATTCCTACTCCATCTCTGTTTGTACTGCCTGCTGAATCAATCTGCTCAAAGGCTAAATCAGAAACACTTGTCCAAACCTGGGTTAGCAAGTTCCTTTGTTGCTCTTGAATTCTGTGGACCCTGAACTAGGATGATGGGTGCCTTTCTTTAAATGGGTGATGTTTCTCAACAGCCAGCTGCTGTGCCATCAGAAACAGGGAAGTTGTTTTCACCAGTTTCAGGAAATGGTGACACTGTTCTCTGTGAACTTTTTGGAAGCTTATCTCCAGCTGTACAGTAGGGACAGAGCTTTTGTTTAATGGAAATGAAGCGTATCTTTTTCTTACAGATGCACCACTCACTATAGAGCTTTTTATGTGCGTTTTAGGTTTCCCTTTTTATTTTTTAACTTATTAACTCTGACAAGTAACCTCTTGGTTGTGAACAATTTAATTCACAATTCATTTTTCTGATTCAAAGTGAACACGAGTGCCCTAATCCCCTAATGGGAATTAATTGCATGTTTCAATGCTTAACTCTGATCCTTTCTCAATCCCCACTGGGACAAGTTTCTTCCTGAAGGATCCGTGTTTGTTATTCAAAACACAATCTGAAAGGTAATGATTTTTCTTATAAAAGAGACTCGGGCCGACTGAATATTAATGCTCTTTTTATTGTGAGGGAATGAGCTGCATCCAAGAAAAAACCTCGTTTATGTCATGAAGGATAAATTACTCTGAAGTATATCTGATAAAATACAGGGAAAAAATCAGTGTGTTCTTATTCCCCTAAGTGAAAGCAGTTTGCCAGTAAATGAAGGCACACACTGTTTTTGCTTGGAAAGCTGTATTTTGATACAGAGAAAAACTGTTTGCTTCACCAAAGGGGAAATTGCTTGGCTACTGAGGATTTTTAAATGACACTGTTCTCGGCCAGCAACACACCCTTTTGGATAACTGACCTAACCTAACAGTTTACTAAAATAAGGGTAAATTGCAGAAAATAGATTAAATTTCTACTTCCAGTCTGGTTTTAAATATTTCTTGAACTTGAAATACATTATTTAATGACACCATTTCTGAGAGGAGCTGCACGGGCTTCTCTGGTATCGGGTGTCTGTCCCAGCCAGATGACTGCAGATGAGACAGGCTCTGCCCAGTCAGTGACCACAGGTAAAATGTGGGAAAAAATCACAGTGCAGGAACTGCTTCTACCCCTACAGAAATGATGGAGGACAAATGGCACAGTGTGAAAAAATAATGCAGGAACTATGAAGGTACCTTCTCCCCCATTACATTTCAGTAAAGCCAGTCTTTTATCCCATTTTAACCAATTTTGAGTGTTTCATGCTCACAGATAAAACAAATGGTCATTCAGGGTCTGTTTTCAAGAGGGAGCTCACACATGTGCAGACCAGCTACTTGAGGTGATTTAACACTTCGGGGTGTCTGTCTGGGGAAGAGAGGAGGAACATGGCCTTACCTGGTCTCTCTGCCAGCAGTCTTCCAGTTTCTCCCCTGGCCTCACAGCTTGCTGTTCAGCATTTATCTGTCACTCAGCAAGCAGGACCTCAGCACTGGCATTATTGCAAATCCACCAGCACATCCATGAGATGAATCCACACACTTGCTTTTGGGAGTCACTGAGCACGACACCACACACTTGCTGCAGCACAGCTCCCATAATGGTGAGAGAGAGAAAAATTAAGAAAGATTTAGAGCTTTTCCTGGGGGTCAGGGATATGTTGGCTGATGCTTGGGATTCCTTAGAGAATGTTAATTTGGTTACAGCAAAGAACTGCAAAAGGCTGACTTTTTTCTAGTCTCTGTTTTTCACTGATGCAGTTGTCTGAAAAGTTTCAAGATACTTGAATTGAGTATGATACTTAAATGTGGTATAGGACTAAGAGACCATTTTTGCACGTGCCCAAACAACTCTTTGTGTTGGAGATGCCTTGGCAGGGCACTGGCCCCGTGAGTAATGTACTTCTTTGTCTTTCAGCGGCTTTTGCAAGTACGATGGCCCGTGTCTTCGTCTATGGCACGCTCAAGAAGGGCCAGCCCAACTACAAGCACATGATCAACACGGCCAAAGGCCTAGCGAAATTCCAAGGAAGGGGCCGCACAGTGGAGAAGTACCCGCTGGTGATTGCAGGGAAATACAATATTCCTTACATGCTGAACATCCCGGGGACAGGCCACCACATTGCTGGGGAGATTTACTCTGTCGACGAGCAGATGCTGCAGTTCCTGGATGAGTTTGAGTGCTGTCCAGACATGTACCAGCGCACCCTGATGAGAATCCAAGTGGTGGAGTGGGAAGGGAAGGGTGGCGCGGGAGAGGCGCGGGCAGCGGCCGACGGCGTCCTGGAGTGCTTCGTGTACAGCACGGCCACGTACCCGCCCGAGTGGGTCGGGCTCCCCTACTATGACAGTTACGACTCCTCGGGGAAGCACGGCCTCTCCTACGTCCTACGGGAAAGCCGGGAATAGAAACGGGAGGTGACGCAGCCCGGCCGAAGACATAGTGCTAAGCAGGTGTTGCTCGGTAACCGTTCCAGGAAAAGCTGTAATACCTTGTCATTAAAATGCAGGAGCTCTTGTAACCCTCCCAACCCAGGAGCCTTGGCGCTAGTGTTGAAGTCCTGTAGGCCCAGAGCTGCAGACTCCTCCCCAGGCAGTCAGTGTCTTCCTGAACCCCCCAGCCTGCTGCAGGTAACTGGGTTTGCACCAGCTATAAAGTAACTGTATGTGCACACCGGGTCTGGGGTCTAATTATTCCCTCAACTTCCCCCTTTGCCTTGGTGCATAATAATGGAAGTCAATGAAAGGCAGAGGAACAGATTAATTTTTTTTCCCTGAATTGACAAATTTTCTTGCACTAATATCTGAAACTGATTTAAATGTCTGCAAAGTAAAGCACAACTATTGGATATTGACTTGTAATGGGTTTAGTAGGCTACTGCATGTAAACAGGGAAAGCTGATCAGATAACTTGGTGCTTCTAGACAAATAGGAAATTGCTGGAGAAAATGTAAAGGTTATTCTTACTCTGCATTGCAGTGGGATTTTTTCTGAACTGGAAAGGTGTATTTTTAAACCATGTTTAGTTTTAAAAGGCATTGTCAAGAAATACTGAGAAAATATAAGAGAGTTACATTTAAAATTGTATTTTTAATTTTGCATTCTAAGCACTTGGGGTTCCACTTCCATTCACTGTGTGACCGTAGGATTTGGGGGCCTGTGTGTCTGTGTGTGTGTGTGTGTCTGTTTTGGGGGATGTGGGGCTGTTGGGGACCAGGAAAAGCAAATGTACACTGGAGCTGTTGTGAGCACTTACTGTCAAGGTGACTTTTTGCCAAGCATTTAATGCATGTCTTGCAACCATATGCAAACTGAGTTTCCTAATGGGGGGAAAAAAAATTATATACGTTATAAAAATATCCAAAGGACCTGTATTGTGATTATTGCAACATTTAAATTGGGGAAAAAATACATAAAGAAGACTGTTGTGCCCCTGACCCAACCAACTGTGCTGGTTTCTGTACAATCTGGGAAAATTGTAGCTTTCTGTTGTTACACTCCTGTGCCTTATATTTTCCTTCAGCTGCAGTGTTTGGTACAGATAGATTGTACAGTAGCCAAAGCTGCCAAAGGGATGGGAGCAGGCATTGTATGCCATGCAGTGAGCCATCAAATGCAGCAAGGATACAATTAAAAAAAATACTGTACTTTTGCTTCTTTTACTACTGCCAGTAGCCCTGTGATGGCCAGAGGAGATCCAGGGTAGGGAATCAGCCTAAACTTCAGCAGTGGTAGGCACTGCAGCATCTCATTTAGAAAAGCTTTTATGTTGCTGCAATAAGCAAAACAAGTAACTTGATAGTAGAATATGTGTGTCTACAATACTTGTCTGTTTAGGACAACCCGCAGAGACTGAACTGTGCTCCCTTGGGAAGGGGTAAGATGGCAGTAAGGAGACTTGTAAGGAGATCTGCAGGGTCTCTGCCTCAGTTTCTCCAACGGCAAAAGCATTAATTTTCCTGGAAGGCAGGTACTATCCAAACACTCTCCTTACTCACCTTGATGAGTTTTATAAACTAATTCCCTAAGCAGATCCCTGGACTACATTTTCCCTCTTGGCCATGTGATGTAGTTAATTAGCAGTGTCTCAAGAACAGGGAGAATGCCTCTTCAGTCAGAAATTTCAAGCAGAATCAAACTTTCCTGGTTGAACATGAGTTACCAGCCCTGTAATCAACTGTTTCATCCTTCACCTTCCAGCGAAGAGCCCGGGAACCTCTGGCCACAGGGTTTCTCTCTGGGAAGCAGCAGGACTCTGCACACCCTAGGCAAGAAAATGAGAGCACACCCGCTCCACTCCGGGGCAGTGGTCAAGGTCCCTTTGTCTCCCTTTCCTGTAAGCATTCAGAAGTTCTGCGATTTGTTCTTAGCAGTACCTTGGGGCAGCTAAAGAGCTCTGAAAACAGTGCCAGATCTTTCTGTAAAGACATGCAGTAATCAGTATCAAGAAGATAAGGGTGGGGAAATTGAGTATGGAGTTCAAAAAAAAGAAGACAATTCCCTTACAACTTTAAACAAAAACACATGAAAAATATCTGCACTAGCAAAATAAAGCCTCAAATCTGTAATTTAAAACTAATCTATACAAAGCATTAAAATACAATAATATATAAGTAATTATAATATATAATAAATAATTGTATAATAATTTATCATTTGTTAATAAATAATTCGATAAAAGCATGTCCTAATTTGAAATAAATCTGATCAGAATTTAAGCCATTGGTGGTACTTGTGCAGCACTTATACAGAGTAAACGAGAACTGCTCAGTTTGCTCACTGGTTAATTTTTCATTCTTGCCAGCCATTCTGTACAGCCTGGCTGGGGCCTCAAACCAGGAACATTGCTGTGGAGAAGACAAATCAGATTTTTGGCTTTTGTTGTGTTTTCTTTTTTTTTTTTTTAAAAAGAGGCTTTTCCTGTTTCAAAGCAGAAATGGTATTTTATTGATTTTATTTGATCCTGAAAAATCAAAGCATTACAAAGGTTATGTACAAGTATTTCTGGAAGTAAAAATCTGGGATCTGTTGCCAAGATTGAACATCTGTGTTTGCTGTCTTAACCACTGATACAGTAAATATGCCTGTATAAAATCTCGTGCATAGTACTGTCCGTTTTCTGTGTTGAATTGTCTTAATGTTACTTTACAGATAAGAATAATAAAGGCTTAGTTAATTCAACAGTGTGGAAGCAAGCTTTCATTCCAGTTCCACCAGCAGATCTTCTTCTCCAACGGTGTCACCAGCTTTGCAGTGCACAGCTTTCACCTAGGGTACAGAAAGAGCAGAATTTAAACCCTTCCTCGAGAGCCTGGTGAAATAAATGGCTTGGCTGACGTGGCTTGTATTGCACAGAGCGTTGTGTCTGCACGCACTGGGTGATGGCCACTGTGCAGCCTGAGAACACCGCAGGGACACAGAGCCACCTGTGCTGCAAGGGCCTCCAGAGCTCAGAGCCCAGCTGAGCTCTGTGTAACAGTGCTTGACAAATGGTGTCCAACCCCATCAGGGTATTCAGGCACCTACCATCAGCTGGTTTGCTTGCAACAGAGATGCTTGAGGACCTGAACGTCAGATGGAGATGCCACTTCTTAAAATTAAAAAGCACCTTTTTTCAGCTGGTTGCACTGCTGTTTTTGTTTTACATAGAGGACAGGCTGATTCCTCAATACTCATACTGGGACGTTGCAATGAAAGATTCCACCATTTCTTTAATTACAGTTTTCAAACATAGCAGAATCTTGGAACTGCAGCCATTGAAGTGGGTTTCTCTCAATCACCAGAGAGCTGGGATAGATGATTCAAATCTGAATTGGGATCCTTTAACATAACTGAATTTGGCAATGGGCTACCACTGTCAAATAAGTGCAACTGTATCTGTAGATGAATTACATACTCCCATGCAGATTTCTGAGTTTTAAAACACTGACATCTTACACTAGTCCCTCATTTCCTCTATAAAAGGCTGCAACGTGTTTGAATTCCCTTCCAGCACATGAAGCAATAGAAAATATTTGAAGCTGTATAGTTTGCTTCCAGTATTAATTCAGAGCTCACGCTGACATGCCCAAATCCTTGTTCAGCAGATAGCTCATTTTAATCATCCAAACACTACGCTGGGCTCCTGAAGGAAATGCACAGCATACCCCAAGTACCAGGCTGTGATGGACACGCTATTGCCCACATCCATGTTTGACAGTCTAAAGCCACGTGAGCTGTAAGCAGATCTCTGCCTCTGTAGTACAGGCACACTCACAGCACTGCTCCAGAAATGATGCTGAGCACGGGCAAAGACAGCGTGATACGTACAAACAAGGGCTTTATTCCTAAATGAGTAGCTGGGCAGTGTACCCAATCGCTGAGCCTCAATCTTCTAGGAGATGAAAGCGCAGTGAAAAACATTCTACCCCTTGATTTTCTTTTCCTACAAAGCCAAGGTTCAGCAAACATCAGAGCTAACCGGTGTTTCAAACTCCCCAGCGATTTCTGCCGTGCAGCGGGGCTGGCTCCTTGTCCTGACCCAGGCACAGCTGTCCTGTAGAAGACAGGAGGCTCACCAGTTCCTCTCCAGCTTTCTCTTATTTTTAAACCACCTGCAGCTGGAGTAAACTTGGAGTAGATAAAAACAAGCCACTTTTCTCACAGTTACAAACAGGAAGATGGGGTTTGATACTGAAAAGGAATTCAAGTCAGGAATGAAAATGGGAATGTCTTCCAGCTGAAGACAAATGAACTGAGTTTCAAAACACAGTTTCAAAGCACCAAAACATGGACTAACAGCCTGTGCCAAACATCCCATTCCTGTGGAGAGGCCAAGTTATTTTAGCACTCAGAGCCATGACTTTGCACTGCGGAACAGGCTGAATTCTGTTTAGCAGCTTCATTTCTACACAGCCCTAAACTTTTGTACTTATTCAAATTCTTAACATTCTAAAGGTCAAATAATGTGCTTGCTATTAAAATGGGCTCGCCAAGGGGACATTGCAACGCACACATGAGGCCCCCTGAATGGCCTGTGCACCTTTCACATCCTACCTTGGAGGATTAATGGACCAAACACAAGTTTTGTGGCATCTGTACTGAGAAAGTGGGAAATATTTATTTTTAGGAGAAGTACAAGCAGGATTGTAATGACAGACCCTTGGATTGCAGAACACCTTGGTGGGAAAGGGAAGGATAAAGTGAAAAATAGATGGGGTAGGTGGGAGAGGAAATGGCATTTTAATTACAAATATGACTTAAAACCAGTGGATGCAAAGAGCGGCAATAAGGGGTTAAATAACAGCAGATGAAAAACTAAAGGCTTGGAAATATTAATCAAGTGAGAAAATAAATTATATAGAAATTAATGCATGAAATAAAATAATGAAGTGGTAATGTCAGAGCAAAAGCAAAAGGAACATACTCCTTCTCTCAGTACTTTTTTCTCTTGAGACCCAGTTTTGCACTGGATGCACTGGAAGAGGCAAGTCCTGGGACCCAGCCTCGGTGACAATTTTAGAGCTGTGCCAAAAAAGCCTTTCTTGTAAACACACAAACAGTCCTTGGCATTGAGAGCCATCCTGAGATCTCAGTGAACCTTGCCAGGGGCAAACCCCGTCCCTGCCCGCAGGCTCAGGCTCCCTGCTGCCTCCATGAGGGTGAGGGCTCCTGCCCTGGTGTTTGTGCCTCAGAGAGAGCAGAGGGGCTTGGGCCCAGGCAGAGATGGGCCAGGGCAGGTTAGGAAATATGCAAGAGAGGAGAATATATAATCCAGATCCAGACTATGCTCTCCCATTGGAAAGGATGGATCTGGGCCCCACGTCTAGGTGATGCTTTCAGGCTATGAATTATAATCTGACACAGGGATGCTCTGAAGTCCCAACTTGAGGTCTGACAGTCCTCAGACCAACTGGGGTTTAGGGCATGCCCTTGTCACATAAGCTTAACCAGTTCCCTGCCCAGAGTGCTGGTTTTGGCACATCCTACACTGCAGCCAAGTCCCAGCTCCACGGCTGCAACATTGATTCCTCAGAAGCAGGACAGCCTAATGCACAGCCTTGCAAAGCTTAACAAATGTGCAGATCTAGGCTTGATATTTAACAGTTACAATAATAAAAAAACTGATGTTTTTTTCTCTCCTGCAAAAGCACTTTCTATGCCTTGTTCTGGGTGGTTTTTTTTAAATGTCAAATTATTTGCCATTAAATAATTAACTGGCAAAGAGAGCTCTCTTCTTCAGTTGCTCTCTGGAAAGATGAAATTTGGAGAAATGGTCTGCAACACCTTTCAATTCAATCTGGCATTGTAACATCACAGAAAACAAATCACTTAGGAGAAAGAGAGTTACATGAATTTCTGAAGCCAGTAAAACTATTTCCTGCTGTGCTATCTAAGGCTCGGAACTACTTAACAGCATTCACA